GAGTGCAACAGTGAATACTGAAGCCCCGCATTTATTCTACATCTTCCTTTTATACATGCAGAAACAACCCGGGGTTACAATTAGTCTGTTATGACAATATATCAGAAACGCTATATTCTGCCAAGTCAAGGAGTCTTAGATACAAATTAAACATTCTGTTTTCCCAGAACTCGCATGCGTCCTTGTTCTTTTTCTTAGTCTCAATGTCAAACAGCAGAAGCAAACAGCGGATACTGACACCTGGGTCAGGATAGCTCAGCCGTGTCAAGGCTGAGTCTGCATGGCCTTCAACACACATGTGAAATGGAAGCGATTAACATTGTAAAACAAACATGAAATACGATTGATAACCCATTAAATGGTAACAGATCATATGTTTTCATGAACAAACAGTGCTTCAAAATAAAACAATAGGGACAACAAGGAATCCCTTTATAGGTCTCCTTTCAGGGTCAGTAGGAGACTTCTGGACTTTTGTCTCCGCTTCTGCATCCAATCTGTCATCCTGCCTGTGCTGTATAAGAGAGCATCCTCCATCTCACAGATCCTATGTTGGAGAAGGGAGTCTTTCCATAGGCTCTGCAAATAACTGTGAAAGCCCATCCTTCCTACTGCACGACTGCTACAGAAGGGGTAGATTCTTAAAGGTTAGTTGCAGTTGGAAAATGTTGTGGAACATTTCATGTTCTGTACATTAAAACCCATAGATCCATCTTTCAGACTATATGAATCTGCTACTCTGTAGGAAATGTGGTTCAAGCGCTGCATTCGTGTATTGAGAATGCAGATCTTCCACTGTGGGCCTGCTCCACTATGAAACTTTTGTTTTAAGTCCCATCTGTTCCCAGCAGAAAAAAAAACCTTTGTTGTAAGTTTCAAAAAGCTCTCACACTTGTGGGGGATACACGTTTTCCAATCTTGAAGGTGACATGTGATCATTGGCAACAAGGCGGTCAGCACATTATTTTTCACAAGCCTACAATTGTGAATTCTTTTTTTTTTTTATTGTGAATTCTTTAGAAATTGTCAAATATTCAAGATAGTTTCTCTGTCATTCTTTCTTTCAAGTCAAAAAAGATGTTACAGTCTCAGAACCCCCGGGGCAGTTCTAGTCTGTCCCATAAGGTCACTCTGAGTCAGCAGAATCAGTTTTATGGAAGTGAACATGGTTTTTTGTGAGAGCATATAGGTATCAGCACTGCAGCTCTTATTTCTGTAGGATGGCTGGGTCACATGGCAGCTCTACTGCTACCTTGAAGAGGAAGTGCCATCTCCTTTCCCACAGTGATTGCACCA